CTCCAAAGAAACGGCAAGGGCGGCGAGTCGCTCGGGCTTGTCAGGATGCCCATCGGGTGTGAGCTCGAGCGCCTGTTGACGGAGCGTGATCGATTGCTCGAGATCCTCGAGCTCACCATGTCGTCTGTAACGATCAATCAAAGAGAAGGCGAGGGCGGCGAGTCGTTCGGGCTTGTAAGGATGCCCATCGGGCGTGAGCTCGAGTGCCTCTTGATCAAGCACGATCGTGCGCTCGAGATCCTCCAGCTTGCCGTGTCGATTGTACCGGTCAGTCAGAGAGACGGCGAGGTGCGCGAGTCGCCTGGGCTTGTCAGGATGCCCGTCGGGCGTGAGCTCGAGTGCCTGTTGACCGAGTGCAATCGACTGCTCGAGATCCTCGAGATCGCCGTATCGTCTGTAACGATCTCCGAAAGAGACGGCGAGGTCGGCGAGCCGCATGGGCTTATCAGGATGCCCATCGGGCGTGAGATTGAGTGCCTCTTGACGAAGCGTGGTCGATTGCTCGAGATCCTCGAGCTCGCCGTGTCGTCTGTAACGATCTTCGAAAGAGACAGCGAGGGTGGCGAGTCGCTCGGGCTTGTCGGGATGCCCGCCAGGCGTGAGCTCAAATGCCTGTTTACAGAGCGTGATCCACTGCTCGAGATCCTCGAGCCCGCCGTGTCGTCTGTAGCGATCCAACAAAGAGACGGCGAGGTTGGCGAGTCGCCCGGGCTTGTCAGGATGCCCGTCGGGCGTGAGATTGAGTGCCTCTTGATAGAGCGTGATCGACCGCTCGAGATCCTCGGGCTCGCCGTGTCGTCTGTATCGGTCCAAGAGCGACCCAGCAAGATTCGAAAGCCATATGTGCAGACTAGGGTGACCCTCTGGCGTCATTTCGAGGGCTCGTTCCTTGTTCTCGATCGCGCGCTCCAGGTCTTCAGGATTCCCGTAACGCGAATAGCGGCCAGTTATGCAAGCAGCAAGATTGCCAAGTCGAAGGTGCATATGCGGGTGCCCTTCAGGTGTGAGGTCGAGAGCAAGTTGAGCGGTATTGATCGCAAGCTCGAGGTCCTCTGGCCGTCCCATGCGAAGATAACGCGCTCGCAAAAATACACCGAGGTATTCGAGCCGCAGGGGCTTCTGAGGATGGGGTATGGGTGTGAGCTCGTTGGCCAAGTGCAACTTCGTGATGGAGTCCTCGATATCTTGGATATCGCCGTATCGCATGAAGCGCTGCCACAACTCAACGCCTTGTCTCGAGAGCTGCTCCGCTTCGTCAATTTCAAGTTGAGGTAACGACTGCATTGCAAAACGCAGTTGTCGTAGGCCTCCACAGAGACAGGATCAAGAGCTTCCTGTATATTCGTGAGTTATCATCCAGGAATGCTGAGTTGTGGCGGAGACTCACAGATATGGCGGAGGGAAGCGAGGTCTAAGCATCGGCTTTCGGCGTCCATCCTGGTAATAAGGCGTCATAGACTACAAACAGTGAGTGTGCGGTCCAACATCGCGGACATAAGGTGAAGCAGGCGGCACAGCATGGCATCCTTCAGATGAAGCGTTCCCGCATACCACACCACTCAAGTGTCCGCGAATGGAAGACGGCCTGCCACCAGACCCGGCAGCGCCCGGCCCCAAAACTCTTCAACACCTCTCATTCTAGCAGTATTATTCGTCCGTCGATGCACAAGCATAATGCAACATGATGATATTTGAAGGAGGGGGTCGTGGTGTGAAGGCAACCAATAGCAACCAATGCGCGCTGGCCGCGGTTTCGCGCGCTCTGCTCTTGACCACGACGTCGACCTTGAAGCACGCCATTACCGCCCCATGCCTGCGACCAAACAGTACTCTGCGCCTTGTGTCCTCCACGTGAAGGCCTCGCAACTCCGACCGACGTACCCGGCATCTACTACTAGTGGCGAAAGGGCTTGACGGTGCGGGTCTACACGCATCGCCCTGTCCAGTATTAAGTAGGGCTTGCGCCGCCCCGCGAACTAGGAAGGTGTAATAGGTATGTACACGGCCATTCAACTCATCTCGCATGTACTGAATAAACGTGTAGTGTGCATGTACCGCCCAGTGACTGAGTTCAACGACTCGAGCAACTACCGTACTTGGAACCCACCCGGCCGCTCTTTCAAAGCTTCGTCGGGGCTACTTACCCTCGACCACCACCATCAACTTCTCAAACTTCTCTCCGCGTTCCGGACAAGTTCAACCTGACCCGGACTATCCCGCAAGTAGCAAGCTAAATAGGCGGGATGAGCGGCTGTGAGGATGGTGTATGGTAGAGTTGATCGGATGTCTTGTCCGGCGTCGAGTGGGTATATCGCCTCCTGTGTCGAGTCTTCAATCTCAGGCTGAAACGCTTCAATCTGTAGTACAGATGCACGCCCATGCTGTAGGGCTTCTCCCGCGGTGCATCTCCTGCAGCATCGCTTCTTTCTATATCTCGCCACTGTTTCCTCATGTCCTGCCCTCATATGTACGATAGCAGAATGAGCATATGCCGCATCCCAGCTTCTTCCTTCTTCTACGGCCACGAAGACGTGCTAGAGATACACCGACCGTCCTATTTGAGCGGGAGGTGACTCAGACTCGAACCGGTCTCAATCGCCGCAACATTCAGAAGCCTTATACCACCTAAGGCAGCAGCAACGACAGCACACACGCTGCCAGAGTACTCTCGTGGTGGATAACGTCGGAGACGCACGTCTCCCGGGCTGACCTTCTAACTTGATCATCACTGAGAAGAATGACCAAAGACCCCCCTCTACCTCTGAAGCAACTGCGTATACGACTGTATAATGTCCCGCTTACAGAGAGGTCGAAACAGGCCGCTCTGTGCATGCCAGTCTCAACGCGCTGAGCGGCCGCACTCGAGTTGGTACGTTGACCACCGTTACGATCGGCGCGGGGAGGATGCAGCGGGGATCAGCATTTCGACGTATAGATTACTCGCGCTTAAGATGAGCTGAGTACTGACGACGGTGCCTCTTCGCGAGGGCGACTGTCATCCCGCCTACCTGCGCTGGCACCTGGGTTACCTTTGTGATCATCTCACTGCTGGTGACACTATGGCGCCACCTTGAATTTGAGGGCTGATCGTAATCAGGACGAGCCAGACGTCCCTGAGCCAAGGGCAAGGGCAACCGATTGATTATCTTTCTTCTCGACATTCACTGATACAGTGTGCTGGTACGAAGACGCCAGCTACTTCTCCGACAATAGCAACTCGCATGCGAGACTCCAACTACAGCATCTCCCTCCTCAATACGCTAGTGCGTATGCCATCCGCGTCCGCACGCCCACGGTGCGCACCCTGCTCCTCGAGTCCAGTAGACTCTTGTACGAGTATCACGCCTCAGCAGTAATACATGGACATCCGCGACGATGTCAGTACAGCGTCGCACGCCGTCCGGCTCGCACGTCGCCTCATCCAGTCGCCACATCCAGCAGCTTTTCAGACCGAAGGGCACGGGCCCAGGACAGCCACCGGCGCAGAAGCCTCCAGTCAACTGCAGAAACTGGTCAGCTGGTCCCGCGCTGCCGATGAGTCTTGTGCACGCTCGAGTTTTGCGCGACGCGGAAGGTCACTGTAGCGACCGCTATGACTTCGATCAGCCGGTTTCGGTCCTGCTTGAGCGTTGTTGGCCGCCGGGGAGGCTGGGGCGATATAGATGACGGTCTGAGCTAGGCGCCGACAGCGAGCGTCGCACAGATTGCTCGTGAGCGCCGAAGTAGTCTGTGTAGCGGCCGGGTTGAGAACGTCCGTGTCGCAGCGACGGGGTCGATAATGTCGCGCTCGTGTTCGTGCGAGATAGAGAGCATGTACAGGTCTCGCGAGAACATGAGCGCCTCGAGTGCCCTTGATCTCCGCTATGCAGTCGGACTTGCGATTGCATGCCGTCCGCGCTGGCCTCGGTGTCCACCACACTACGTCTCTATTGTCCGTACACTCTTGCCGAACACCCCCGAAGGCAACCCGCAGCACTTGACGCCCCCGGCGCGGGTAGAAGAAAAGGTGCCTTCTCTCTCATATACAGCGAATGACGGTGCAGAAAGAAACGCATTGCCTCCTTGCGATTCATCATGGCTATACCGTCATTCAATCAGCGACTCTGCATCGACTGAAATAGCGAGAAGACGCACACACCTGTCCTCTCTCTGAATATCGCGTGCATGTTTCGCCCGTGCCATTCCTACTCTCCTACACATCCTCCGCGCCTCCGCGTACAACCCGCTCAGAACTCCAGTATCTGGCTCTGAACCTTAAATGAAGCGGCCGGTCGCCCTCGCGAGTGAACAATGTCACTCGGTCGAGGGCATCATGTCTCAAGAGCGTTGGGCGTAGGGTGCCGAGTTATGGGGTGCGGGAGCGTCGTGTTGGTCGTTGGTAACATCCAGAAATGTAGGCAGGAATGTCGAGTACAGACAAAAATGGTACTCAGGAGACTTGGCCCGATACGCTCAAAGTTATGAGACGATGTCGTCGAAAGACGTTGCGAGAGACGGCGAAGTCGGATCTGAGGCGCGAGGGAGCGTGACACGGGAAAGCTATGAACATGATTAGCAACGCAAGTGAATAGCATGCGAGGATACGTACTAAGGAAACACCTTAAACGTAGGAACGCCGTGCGAATTGAGGCTGTTGGTATCATCGTCCAGGACACGGTGCACCGCACACCTACGCGTTGCGCTTTGATCTCCATGCGCATAGTCCAGAATCAGCGACACATCGCGCAAGGGTTCTCGTAGGTAGTGTGCCACTTCGCCACCGAGTATCGATAGTCGGGCTCGACTGCTGCGGTTCAGGCTTATCGGCCCGGAAGCCGGACGGTGGAGGTTAAAGAGAAGGCGTGCCACTCGATGCGTTGACGGAAAGCGCGACCACGATGATATCGCGACTTATGCTGAAATGGCATACTTTCTTGCCCACCATGGCATGACCTAGCTACCGCTCTTGTGTCTGTCTTAGAAGTTTGACGAGTCGCGCGTGATACTCATATCCAATCCAGGCAATAAGTGCTGCGTGCTACCAAATGCCTGCAGTCTGACCGCCGTTCCGCGCACTGCAAGTGCAGGCGCTCGTGCCTCGCCTACGTGCATCTACGAGCTCGGAACGCTCCATTAATGCGCTCCATTGATGCGCTCCTCATATCAGAGACGTATCGAGGCGAAGCGCTCAGACCGCGTTCAAGGTCTCCGTACCCGAGGCATACGACCCGTCAGAAGCTGGGCCAGGAGGATGGGACGCGCTCGCTAGGAAGTGGAATATTCGACGCGCGGCGTATGTTGCTGCGCTTGGGTGGAGAGAGAAGAAGACGAGAGTGTTCGGTAAGCTCTCATCTGGTCTAAACTACATACAGCTCATGCTAATTGATTCTTGCAGCTACGTCTTCCTCGATATGCCTCTTCCAACCCGTGCGGATCGTATACCGGCTGATCTGCCCGCCCTCCTAGCCTGTTTCGGAAGGAGTCCGCATTCTGTAGTGCGGCGCGTGCAGGCGGACCACTCGAAGTTGTACGGAAGGCTGTCAAGCATGCGCTGGTAGAGAGCGGCGCGGCCGGGAAGAGTGCGGTTGCTGCGAACGAACAGGATGTAGCAGAGAGGATGGGCATCGATACGCCCGTGCCCGTACCAGCGTCCAATTTCCTGTCCCCGCCCGCACCTGTACTTGTGACAGTGTCCACAACATCACTATGGACTACACCCGCTACCGTTTCAAGCGCCGTGGCATCATACAGCATCATACTCGTCGCTTTCCCAAGTGCCGCCGCCTCGCTACTCACGCCCCCACCTCCCACGCCAGCGCCCTTCGCCGCATCGACCTCTCCACTTCTCCTCGTCTATGGCCTCATCTATCGCGCCCGACTCGTCCCAACCGCATCAACACCCAAATCCGCAGAACGACTCGCGCGCCCAGGCGGTATGCGCGCACAAGCCGCTGCACATCAATCAAGCTCGGCCAAAACCGCGGATCACCGAAGATGCCGAACTCGTAGGCGCCACAGCCGCACACGCCTACGTTCTCCCTCGCAGCGCAACGCCAACGCCAATCCCAACCTCGTACCGCTGCAAGCTACGCTTGCGCAGGTTGGGAAGGCTGGTACAAAGAGGAAGCGGAAGCGGGCGACGCAGGCGTATGCGAATCGGAGGAGAGATAGCGAGGCGGGGAATAAAGAGGTCGAGGAGGTGGAGGGGGGTTGGTGATACAAGTACCTACGCTGAATCCTGTCGTCGTCAGTATAACTTGTGGCTCTCAGCCGTCCGAATGCATTGCTCATGGCGCTACTTGCTCTTTTCTACCTGAACCTGCAACCAATCTCACCACTACTGTACAAACCGTGCCACGCCGCGCACCGGCGAAAACTGCAGTGGCTAGGTTTAGTGCTACGCTTGGTATGTCTCATATTCTCGATGCATACAAGTACCGGCTCACACAAAGCACAGCTCCTTCTTGCGAACATCGGGACCACATTTCCCACCGACGACATTCCATGTTACGTGGGACTATGCATTGTATATCCCGCATTGCCGCCCGCTGAGGTTGGCGCTCAAATGATACCACGGGTTTAGCCACACAGCTTGTCTGCGCGACGCATTGCAACACGGGTATTTAGGGGAAGAGGCTAGTATGATGTACGATATCATGAGATACAACGATTCTACATCAGACCATGACTAAACGCCAAAGTGCACGAACGGAGCCCACTTGACAAAGTTCTCCTCGCCAACATGATCCCTCAAGACCTTCACCGCATCATGCAGCGCATACGCCGCCCCGGTATACCCCGGCGCTACCGTTCCCGACTTCCTGATCTCCAGCAACCTCTTGTAGTATGCCTCGACGATGATCGGCGCGTCATTGTCCCAGATCGACCACATCGTCGCGATGACACCTTTGAACCCGACCGCCAACATTCCCGCCGCGAGGTGGACGGACTCCTCGGGGTTCTTCTCGTCGCCGGCGGCGGTCTGGCAGGCCGATAGGAACGCGAGCTCTGCGTTCTTCGACACAGTGCCCATCAGAGCTTGTAAGGTCACAGGCCCATCGTACAGCGCGAATGAGCTTGACAGTGGATCTGCGATCATCTGCGAGCCGTGGCAGGCGAGGTGCACCCAGGGATGCTCGCACATCGCTTCAAGCGTGCGCTCCACGGTCGCGTCTTTGTCATCCAATGACGTGCGCGCACAGTCGGGAAGGACCGTCGCCAAGCGTGCCCGCTCATTCTGTGTGCAGGCAAGAGGTGCATAGCCGGGTGTTGCGGGCTGTGTGACGACGAGGACCTTGGGATACAGTGACAGATCGTTTGGGCCCTGTTGGCAGCGGAGGAGTGCGGAAAGTGATGGGGTATACGACGAGACTACATGGTCGAATGCGTGTTGTCCTAGACCCTCCGTCTCATCGTAGATGCCTGCGGCGTGGAGAGGGAGCCGAGTGAGCGGGCCAGTGGGGCACCATGTGACGTGCGGCAATCGACCCGTGGTCTCTGACATGTTGCGTATCTATGTCTTATGTTAGCGCGTATCATGTATGCGACTATATGTATTATGATTGACATACGAGTTTGAGAGCTTCGAGAATGGGGTGAACGACCAGTTCCCATAGACGCGCCAGGACGTGGCCGAGGCTGTTCTTGCGATCCACGAGCCTGATCCTCTCCCATGACACGACTCCTCGCTCTCGAGCGTTGGCGTAATAAAGAGAGGTTATCCATGCCTTCTCGAGTCCACGAGCCTCGTCCTCCGTCAACGCCGTGAGCGGAATACACTCGATGTTTCCGTTAGGAAACAGAGCTAAAGCATCACAAGAGGAAGAGTGTACGTTGATGAACACGACAGGACCATCGATGTGCTTCAGCACAGGCAAGAAACCATCAAACTTCGATGGCTGAAGGAAGTTCTCGAACCCGGTGCATTTGCGGACATCGGCCAAGATCTTGTTGTAATCGATGACAAGCATGCGATGTTCGTCCGCCGCGGTGTTGGCGGTGACCGATGGCGATGAGCTGTCTGTAGCATCGCTCGAGGTGCGACTTGAAGATCGAGATGCATGCACTGAGCGCTGAAGTTTGCAGAGGATCTCGTCCAAATCGTCAGCCAGCGCGGGGTATTGCTCCCGTAGATCATCGAGTGGTGCGCGGAGAGATAAGATCTGAGACCAGACAAGTGATCTGCCTGCTTCGAGCCATTCTACTGCCTGATGCAATGAGAACAACCGTACCGCAGTAGCCACCGATTGATTGATGATGATACACAGCTTTGCAGACTCCTCGTAGCGCCTATCCACAGCATATCCAAGCCAGACAACCTCGGGAAGAATTTGGAAGATGCATGCATGTGCTGATAGCAAAGACTCCGACGAGGCAAATGTGGGACTTTGTGACAGAAAGGAAACACATTCCAGCGCAGATCTCAGGCGTTCAACGGGGTTGCCCAGTGGGAACATCGCGGACTCCATGTAACATGTCACTGTACTCTCGAAACCCGGCTTGCTCGGCTGTCGCAAAAACCGGACCCTCAACCAATAAGCTAGAGCATATAGCCACTCAACTGTGTCGGGATGCCCGTCGGGCGCGAGATCGGCTGCCTGACGATTCAGTGTGACGGACCTCTCGAGATCTTCGAGCTCGCCGTGTCGACGGTAACGGTCTCCGAAAGAGACGGCGAGGCTTGCGAGTCGCTCGGGCTTGTCAGGATGCCCGGCGGGCGTGATATCGAGCGCCTGTTGAAGAAGCGCGATGGTGCGCTCGAGGTCGTCGAGCTCGCCGTGTCGTCTGTAACGTTCTCCGAAAGAGACGGCGAGGGCGGCGAGTCGCCTGGGGTTGTCAGGATGGCCGTCAGGCGTGAGATTGAGGGCCTGTTGACGGAGCGTGATTGACCGCTCGAGATCCTCAAGTTCGCCGTGTCGTCTGTAACGAGCGAGCAAAGAGACGGCGAGGTTGGCAAGTCGCTCGAGCTTGTCAGGATGTCCGTCGGGCGTGAGATCAAGCGCCTCTTGACGAAGCGCGATCAACTGCTCGAGATCCTCGAGCTCGCCGTGTCGTCCGTAACGATGTTCTAAAGAGACGGCGAGGTCAGCGAGTCGCATGGGCTTAGCAGGATGCCCGTCGGGCGTGAGCTCGAGCGCCTGTCGACGAAGCGTGATCGACCGCTCGAGATCCTGAAGCTCGCCGTGTCGTCTATATCGGTCCACGAGCGACCCAGCAAAATTCGAAATTCGTAAGTGCAGACTGTCGTGGCCCTCTGGTGTCATTGTAAGGGCTCGTTCCTCGTTCTCAATTGCGCGCTCCATGTCTTCAGGATCCCCGTAACGCGTATAACGATCATTCATGTAAGCAGCGAGATTGTTGAGTCGGAAGGGCATATGCGGGTGTCCTTCAGGTGTGAGGTCGAGAGCAAGTTGAGCGGTATTGATCGCAAGCTCGAGGTCCTCTGACCGTCCCATGCGGAGATAACGCGCTCGCAGAGATATGCCGAGGGATTCAAGCCGCAGGGGCTTCTGAGGGTGGGGTATGGGCGTGAGCTCGTTGACCAAGTGCAACTTCGTAATGGAGTCCTCAATATCTTGGATATCGCCATAACGGTCGAAGCGCTCGTATAACTCCATACCGCGCCTGGCAAGCTGCTCCGCTTCGTCGACCGCAGGCTGAGGTATTGACTGCATTGCACGACGTAGTCGACGTAAGCCTCCACGAAGGCAAGGTCAGGCACTTCCTGAATATTTGTGGGCTATCATCCAGGAATGCAGAGCGACGGCCGGGACTCACGGATATGGCGGCGGGGTGCGAGGTCTGAACATCGGCTTTGGGCGCCCATCCTGATAATAAGGCACCGTAAACTGCAAACAGTGAGTGTGCGGCCCAGTCCCGTAAACTGGACGCGCAGCGAGCAGTACAGCATAGCATCCTACAGATGAATTGTATTCGCATACCACGCCACTAAAGGGTACACGCAGCACCGTGATGGAAGACAACCTGCCATCATAGCCTGGCAACGTTGTCATGCGTGAGTCCCTTACTGTACGTCTTCTAACCAGTATTCATCGCCCGCCGTCGCACAGGTATGATGTAACGTGATGGTATTAGGAGGTAGTGGTGCAAAGGCAACCAATGCGCGCCAGCCAGGGTTCCGCGCGCTCTGCTCTTGACCACGACCTCCATGCCTGCGACTGGACAGCATTCTGCGCCCGGCCGGTGTTCACCGCTCGAATGCCTCGCAAACACCGGTCTGCGTACCCGGCATTAGCTACCAATGCGAAACAGCTGAATAGCGCGCGTTCACATCACCCGGCTGAGCGCTCGGCAGCACTCGCGCCGGCCGTATCTCCGCCAAGGACGGTGTTCTTTGGTATGTAGATACCTGATGAGCTTCTATATCCCACATGCACTGATACTCGGGCCTATAGACGCTACTGTATCGAGCAACAGAGCCCTGAGGGTTTGAACTTTGACGCTGCACAGCGGTGTGTCAGTTGGAGAGTTACATTGAACGTACTCGGACTCGGAGGTGCGTCGACCCTTCCTATTCTCCAAGTCTGCATGCTGACATACGGAATAATGCAGCTATCCGGACTCTGGACATCTTGCGGAGATCGCTTTGCAGTACTCTACCGCTGTACCGCCTGGTACAGCACCCGTGTTACTTGGGCAATGGGCTGAGGCGAATACGTGTGGCGATGTTGTGCGGCTAAATGTCAGGCAAGGTCAGGCAGAAGCGGCCATCGCAAAGGGCAACATGCGGTTTATACGCTCGTTCATTACGTCCAGTCAAACGGCGTTTAATATGTGATCGCAGATGTACTCTTATGACTGAGTATCAGAGGCCTGCGCGTCCTGCTCGCGCAGACCTTCGACGCGCTGCCGGACGACCACGACTGGACCATAAGCGGACGAGGGCGGGTTACTTACCCTCTGTTCTCTACGCGGTATATCCATGCATTTCATTGCGAGAGGCGCACTGTCACACAAATCCTCATATCGCCCCTTCGTTGCGTCTTCTTGGTCCACCGATCCCTTTGGATACAGTAGTGCAATCCATGATGTACATATATGCGACCATACAACGAAGAGAATATCTACTCCATCACGACAGCCAGCGTTATAGCCTCCCATGCGTCCGGTACTGGACCCAAAAAGCGCTCTCTGATACTGCCCTTTGCCTTGCCGTGTATCGCCACAGGCTCTTGCGCAACGCCCGACAAGTCGGCGTACCGCGTCGAGACGAAGATACGCAAGAAACCCGCGTCCCTGCTCTGTCCCGGTGGCAGAGCGAACGCGAGCGGCACTCCGCCCGAGTCGCCGAAGTTCAACGGCAGAGCGCTCGTCATACCGGCTGGCAGCGGCGGGTCGGCTTCTCCGGCTCCTGTAGTGAGAGGAGGGGAGTAAAAGTTGACTACAACGCCGTGTGAGTCCTCAGTAAGCACAGAATGAGGACCTAGGGGCACGTACTGATCTCCAACGTGCCACAGTCGAAGTAGAACATCCACACAAATAAGTCCCTGCTCGTCTTGTTAAGAACTTCGACACCGTACATGGTGTTCAGTGGCGTATATTTGACCATCCGGCACAGTGACGGCCGGAATACGCCGCATCTTCGCGCGTCGATAGGCTTGCCGGTAGGACTCCACATCTGCATGATAGCGCCCGCGGCACTGCGCCCAAGCTGCGCCTGAAGCTCCCAGATCGTCACTGAGACGGCTTGACGCAGGTTCGCAGACGACGGGGATGAGCCCAGGTAGCGAAAGAAGTGGGCGGCCGAGCGCAGAGCGGAACGAAGGGAGAGGTCGTCGGCCAAAACGGGGCCGCCGAGGTGCTCTATCCCGAGAGCGCGCACGCGCTCATCGATGAAGCCGAATGAGACAGCGTCGTGAGCGGTCTGGGCGATGGACATATGGGCTGTTTCCTTAGATGCCACCGCGATGCAGGCCCAGGAACGACTGGCCGACTGGCCGACAAAGGCCACCTGAACCATCGCTCGAAGTACGCGGCTTCTGAGCTCTCCATCCGTGGCTATGTCTATATCGACATACACGCGAAACGCACCACGACTGTGCACGCGGGACAACGTCGCGACGCAGCCTGTACGAGGAATAAGTGCCTCAGAACCGTCGATAAGCTTTGCCGAGCTAGACACGGCGCTTGTAGCCTCGATGACCAGGCTACCAAGGGGCTTGTCTTCAGCGGAGGAAGATCCCTCGTTGCTGTACACATCGAATATGTCTCCCTCTGTTACCCCGTGTATCTCTCCAGCAAGGATGGTGAACGACGATTCAGATCCCGTTACTTGATAGTGTGGACGACCTCGCTGCCTCAGGCTTGAGTTGAACAGTATCCGGGTTTCCATTCCATGACCCTCGCATCGAGGCGTCTGACTAGACGTTATTCATCAGCATGACCCGCTTGCGCGCCTATCATCTGCTACTTACGATGGAAGACAATCGATGCGCCTGATGAGTTCGGCATAGGTCAATGTATCCGGACCGACTTCTCGAAGAACGCGTAGGAGAGCCGCGGTGAACCGACCCTCATGGGTACGTCGATCCTCGAAGGCGCTCTCCTCAGAACCGCACGCCGCCAGAACGATATGAGAGCGTAGACCAGTGTTCGAGAACTCTGGCATGCTGATAATGCCCCGCCGAGAAGGAGCCCAAAGATCTCGTTGATACGAAGGGCTGATCGTGACGTTCTTCTTGCCATCCTTGGATTCGAAGGATATACTACGCTGAACGGCATCTTGGTTGCGCGTGCCAGAGCCGGAATGGCAACAATCTAGAATCACGGTCTTCCCCGTCATGCATAAGATAACGGCTAAAAAGGAAGAAGCTTGAGAACTCACTATGTTATCTCCCTTCGCGTTAGCAATGCGACCCAGGAGTGCACCGATAGTGTAGTCCGGAATGACACCGACGACCGCGGCCTTCTCTACGCGAGCATCATGTGGCGCCAAACACTGTACGCGTGGACTCATCGATGCCCATCCAGCCGGTCTTGGGAGAGTACTGCCGTGCCCAGCATAGTAGATGAGTATAGGATCGCCATTTTTTATGTTGTCGTTGGTACAAAGGTCGACCAAGGCACGAGTAATGCCATCCGCCGTCGCTGCCTCGTCCTGCAGAAACACGATGCGTTCCTTATTGACAGGCGGACGCAGATTCAACATAAGCTCCATGACATTCCTCGCATCGTTGACAGCTCCGGAAAGGTTGTGTTGTGAGTCAACATATGCATCAACACCGATGATAAGAGCGAACATCCTGGACTGTCATCAGCGACTGGTCGGCGATGGACGTGAGCTTACAGTACCTATTGCTGATGTCAGACGGTTCATGTTCAATAGCATCGAGACTGCGAGGATGACTGAACGAACCGCGATACAATGGAAGTACTATATTTGCGTACTCGGCGGAGGAGGCATGACTAGATAAGGCAGTCAATTGTCAATTCTTCATTCTTTCCGCTGTGTGAGCTCACTTGAGGTTGGCATTTATGACGTCCTCGACAATCGGCTCGCTGAGCAAGGTACTCTCAGTACTCAGAAGGGACGTGGGTGCGGCGAGAGCTTGAGGGCTTTAAGTAGAGTTACCGATCGAAGCTCCCCATCGCCAGGTAAAGAAACTTGCCCAGTTGCTCGCGTGCTTCCAAACGCCAAAGCGATGCAGAGGCTTGGTAGTCTGCGTGTCATGCTCTGCACCATCTTCATGCTGCCCACCAAGTACGCGACCAAGAATGCGACGATAATGGAGATTATCGATGTGAAGAGCGCGGGACACATCTGGTATACAAGGTGTCGTTCCTAGTGCGAGGGTTCGTCTTATTTGTAATGTCTCGATGGGCCGTTCCCATGCCGCAACACGGCTGTCGAGGTGGGAGGGCACAAGGTCTGCATGCGCACTCGAGCGCGGGCAGTGGTGGCGGCGCAGAAACAGCAACCCCAAGCTTCGATCGCCATGCGCCTACCCGGCCCCACAACGTTCCCAGGCTCACGCGATCTGGGCTGGCGGCAGCAAGGCGGTAGACTGTAAACTCAACTGGGATTTCTATGTCTTTCGCCACATCCTCCGACGGCCCATCCTATATGTTCAGCGGTTCTACTGTCACTCTGCCATTCACCGCTTTACTCGTCTGCTACTAAATACTCATCGGCTCGCTTCTGTTCACCATGAGTCACCACGGAGGACCGATTGGATGCACACTTCAGCGCTGACGCCTTTCTGGCCCACGGGCTTGATCGACTCACGATATCACTGGGTCATGGGGGAGAAATTTCCATCTGACGCGCGAAGTTGGATGGACACATTGGCGTATGGCCAGGGAAACGGTGTAAGTGCACGCGCGCAGTCCCTCTACGCTTGCATTACGGTAGTCATTGCGATACTTTATAGCCTCGCGGTACACTCCAACCATGTCAAAGCCTCTGCGCCTCTAGCCTGCGTTCAATGTGCCTTTCCAAGCGAGCAAACTCGCGAGAGCATTTCGTGCGCTATCCGGCGTCGACACATCCCGTCGCCGGTCCAGAACCTATTGCCTTTTTCATACCGATGCTCGAGTGGGGGTCTGGCATGCGTCATGCTCATGCCCCCTGCAAGGCTGCGCGGGGTGACGAGCTCGAGCGCGAACCGAGTCCGGACGTGCAGAAGATATCTCCACCTCAATCGCCGTGCCGCAGCTCCCTGCGGTACGCGCTCTTGCTGCGCCTCCGCGTTCGTGAACCACCGCCATCGAACATGCGAGTCTTCGGTGCCAAATGCTCTTATCATACAGTATGTGATTCTCCACTCGTCTCACTATAGTACACTCATGATCCGCGCAGTCTTCGACGTGATGCGCGTGCCCTGGCTCAACGGCGACAGCATCGTGACGAGGGGGTGCACAAACGAACTTCTTTCCCCTAGTCTAAGTGCGTTCGTCAGCTCGTCGTATTGGCACTTTGATACTCATAATGCCGTACCATTCATTCCAGTTTAACAGCGATCGTAATCGCATCCCACATGTCCCAGAGCTGCGAAATCTGCCTTGGAGTCAACGGGGCCTTTGCTCTTCCCGGCTTCACCACAGGGTCTTGAACGAGACTCTTTAGGTCTGCATAGCGGGTCGAGAGGAATATACGCAGGAACCCGCCGTCAGCCGTCAGCCCTTGCGGAAGCTCAAACGCAAGCGGTGGATGACCGGAATCGCCGTAGTTGAGCGGCAGCGTCTTTCCAGGTTCGAGGGGTGGATCGGATCTGCGCCCATCGTTCGATGCCACAGGGGGCGAATAGAATTCGCCTGTATACACACAGCGCAATCAGATTCATCTTCGCATGTGCTACAGTAAACGGATATCACACGTACTAACTTCGAGTGTAACGCAGTTGAAGTAGAACACCCATACGTACAGGTACAGGTGCTCGGTCATGTTCTTTATGTCGAGTCCATACAAGGTTGCGTTTCGTATGTCCCGTGTGAGTACAGGACGGAAGGTTCCCAGCATCCGGATATCGTCCACGAACGGTTGCTGCTCGTTGATAGGAGTAAACACTTGCGCAAGATGACCGTGTTCGGGCGCGCCCAAGCTCGCCCGCAGTTTATGAAGGCGCACAACCACACAATCGCGTAAGAGTGGGTTTGGTTGTGGGGAAGGCGAAGCTGGAAGGGAGGGAGGTATCAGGAAGTGCATAAGGGACATGACAGAGCGCAGTATGAATTGCTGACAGCTGGTGGAAGCGGAGAGGACATCGTCAGGAGATATCGGATGGGCTGGTGCTGGTCCGAGGTGCCGAAAGAATGAGACAGCCGAACGCAGGGCATACGTGAGCGAGCGTTCGTCGCCCTGCACCAATCCATTCAATGGTCCTAATCCCAACTCTTGGACGCGTGCGTCGAGAAGCTCGAAGTTGACGGCCTCGGCATCGAATGGATCTTCCGTAATGGAAAGGCATGCCCTGCTTGGAGAGGAAAGGGCGATAGGAGCTTGTGAAGAAGCAGTCGGATCGGGGGTATCGCAAGACTCAACGAACACCTGTGCGAGTGCCTTGTGCACACGAGCGTGCAGTGTAGGGTTCGCTGTCTCGTCTATGTCAACGGCTACGCCGAATGCATTGGAAACGCCCAGCAGAACGGCAACGGCCCCGGTCTTTGGAATACGAGCCCCGTCTTGATCTCCAGATAGCGTTGCAGCGCTGTGTTCTTCGCGTACATCGGTGAGGACCACTTGTGCAAGGCGCTCAGCGCCATCCATGAAAGCCTGATCGTGTTTGTAGATGGCAAAGGTATCGCCCTTCAGCGACCCAAACCTGGTACCGACATTCATGAGCTTATAGGAACTCCCATCGCCGACGACGTCGTAGGTCCTACGACTACGTTGGTTGGTTTGAAACAGCAGCCGGACTTCCTTTCCGTCGCCTTCGCATCGTGGCGTTTGACTGGCGATTGATCAGCTATCAGATCTGCACTGAGGTCGGAAAGAAGCACTCACCCCGGCAATCCATCCAAGCGATTGATCAGTTCAGCGTAGGTCAGTCTATGTGCATCCTCGCTCTTGAGCACTTTCAGCAGAGCATCAGCGAATCCTCCGTCGTATGCATATTCTCTTGGACCGCAGGCCGCCAGAAGGATGTGAGACTTCAGCCCGTAATTCAAGAAGTGCGAAAGGCCGGAATGGGTAGCTCCACCGGGGTGTTGGGTTTCGCGATACTCGCGTTGATAAGCAGGGTCGATTGTAGCATCCTTCGGGAAGTCCATATAACGAGGAAAAGCTTTAGGGTTACGAGTCCCACCGCCGGAGTGACAGCAGTCCAGAATGACAGTCTTCATTATCGTCAGTCATGATACAATCACTGTGCTCGTTCACGTACCACATTACTTCCTCGAGCGTCGGCCAACCGTTCCAACAAACAGCCAAATGTCCGGTCCGTGATGACACCCTTGACAGTATCGTCCATAGCGGCGTCATGCGGTGATAGACATTGAATCTTTCCGGGGTCGGACGTCTTCCAATGACCCCACCCCGTTGGAACCTTGAGAGAGCTGCCATGACCAGCATAGTAGATTAAGATGGGATCCCCATGCGTAGGTCGAGCTTTATTCCGCCAGCGACCGCGCGGAGCGACATCCTTGTACATGTATTCGAGACAGTCGATGATGGCGCGTGTCGTAGCATCGCTGTCTTGAAGAAAGAGAATGCGATCAGGCGTGACCGGTGGCTTATGGTGATGAAGAAGGTAATCCTCGACCTTCTTGGCGTCATTGACGGATCGCGATAGGTTGTATTCGGATCTCTGGTACACATCCACCCCTATTATAAGGGCAAACAGCCTGACGAGCGCGATAATCAGATGAACGAGGAAAGGAGATTATGTCCATAGCACTGTAGTACGCACAAATTAGTCGGGGATGCAGTCCCAGCCATTGCACTGCTCAAACGATCAGAACCCAATATGGGTACATGGAATTGGGGCGTCGTACCGCGGTATGGTCGCACTAGCCTACTAGCGGCTGAACTGGTGCGACTTCAGATGATGACCATTGTTCTCAAGATTGACCGGTGCATACCCGTATGTCGCCTTTGCGTCAGTGAGCTGCAGTCGGATTTGGGTTTTAGTAGGGCGAATGAAGAACCTGGCTCTTGGAGATGGGCTGATCTCAACAGTACACGGACCGCGAGGAGTCGTACTTATGGACGCCGCAACCGATATGATAGATTAAGATCAGCGAGTGGCTCGCCTCAAGATTCTTAGTCACCTGGACATCAAAGACGCGACCGCGTTGCCCGCTGTACATCCGAATGTTAGTGTTTGGACGAGCGTGGGGACAGTTACGTATCGCCCGCGTGGGCTTTTCCGTTCACCTAGATAGAGCAGTAGGGACCTTGTCGTTTCATTTCGATGTCTGGTTTACCAGACTTTGACAAGAGCGGCTTTCATGCAGCTTATCAGCGAGAAGGATTGCGAGTCCCTGACAACTGGAAGTGAGATAGTGTGCGAACTGCAGATAGAGAGCAGTGCTTCGCGCATCCCGTGGGGCACGGCCCGGAGAACGCGGCGTAGAGGACTGTAGGAATGGAAGACCCGCATCCGAGACAGTGCACCGAAGAGCGCTGAAGCGTCGAACACTCATGATGCTCTCACGAGGGGAAACCACGATAAGGCTTCAGGAGCGACGTAGTATATCGGGGTAAGTACCGTAAGGCGCGTACACCTTGATGGAGCTGTAGGTTCGACGGATGCGAGCCGAAAAGTCCATCTTATTGATGGTCGCAGCCAAAGAGGCGCGCAGGAACGAAGCGGCACATACAAAATCCACCCTAACATCCCATCTTGCTTCTCGATTCATCTCAGTTTGAATGCTCAGGGTTTCGTCGGTACGTGTACTTAGGGGGCCTCGTCGCCGGCAAGTAGGCCGCTGGGGCAGCTCGGTCATTGCGGTTCTCGAGCACTATGGCATAACTTCGTCCTGGTCGACGTAATCGCGCAAGATACTCAGTAGGGGACTGTGAGGAATCGGAGATGGTGAGCCCATGGGCGCCGGAGCAGACTGTGTGTGAGCAGCGGCGTCGTGACGCGGCCCGAAGTCCCCGCCTAACACGTGTTCAAGTATGCTGGTTCGCTCCCGTCCTCATACTGCTCCTCAGAGCACCTTCTTTGGCGTACTTCTCTGGAGTTGGGGCCATACTGCGACTTCCTCCTGTCCTGGCTGCGCCTGCAAGTAGCAGGTCGCCCGACAGGTCATGAACGCCGACATCGCGATCGCGCCGTCGTATGCGACTTCCCACTTGAATGTCACAACTGTGCATCGTCAATGGTTGCTTATTGGGGATCAAGCGCATATAAGGAGTTGATGTGAATGATGGTGTGATAACGACCAGAGCCAGCAGGAATGTGATAAGACAGTTAGGCAAGTTGTATCTATCCAAGTCTGACCGGAATGGTAATCGCATCCCACATCGACGCCGCAACCGATTTCAAGCGTTCGGCAGTCAGAACACCCATCACCTGATCTGGCTCTACAATGGCATCCTGAGCCAGATTAGACAGATCAATGTATTGCGTTGAGAGAAAAAGTCGCAGGAAACCGCCATCGCGATCCTGACCATCGGGCAACTCGAAAGCAAGCGGTATGCCTCCCGAGTCCCCGTAGTTCAAAGGCAGTGGTGCCGACATGTGGGCAGGGAGGGGCGGGTCGCCTTTCCCCGATACGACCGGAGGGGAGTAGTACTCGACTAGACGCGGAGAAGGGAGATCAGAGCTTGTTCGGGGATGAGTATACAAGACTGACTTCCACGTACTGATCTGGAGTGTACTACAGTCAAAATAGAAAAGCCAAGCATACAAGTTCACGCCCGACCTATTGAGGACATGGATACCGTATAGCTCCTGGGTCGGGTGGTCGTCGTCTACGTGAGACAGGACGGGCTTGAAGATGCCACACCGCTTGGCGTCGATGTAAGAACCCTCCGGCAGTAGACGCGTCTCCACTAATCCTTCGCTGTCCAGACCCAAGCTTCCTTCAAGCTTGCAGATGTGTATGTCGACTTGATCGCGCAGAAGAATTGTCGAAGGCGGAAGATAATGGATAATGGGCCTTGACGATTGTAATATACCGAAGCGTGCAAGGAGAAGGTGACAGATCGAGCGAAACACCCACAGGAAGATGTACTCATCGCTCTTCTCCCTCTCGGCGCGCCCATCAATCTCCAGATCTCTTTTGACTGATGGTGTATCGAGTTTGCCCGACGGTAAAGAGGATGATCCAAGATGACGAAAGAAATGCGCGGCGGAGCGCAAGACATGGATGAGTGTGTCCTTGTCAGCCTTAATCGGTCCGCACAACCTCTCGAGTCCTAGAATCTCGGGGACGACTCCATTTCTGAAGGTAAGAAAGACCGCATTTTGTGCTTCGTCGGCCGAAACAATAGTGATGGTTGCCTTCGTTGCCGGAGATGATGTGGCGACACGTGGAACAGAGGCCTCGGAGGGACGGAGTTTATTTGCAGAGTCCACCGACTCGCAGACTACATGACGAAGGGCATCAAGGACTCGTCCTTTGAGCTCTGGAGCTTCGTTGATAGCCACTTCCACGCGGAATGCGTCAGGACTCTTCACCCGTGATAGAACGGCGACGGCACTGGCCATGTCGAAAGCAGCATCCACAAACCCATCGGTGCTTGATGCGGAGCTTGTATCTGCCGTGAGCGACTCTACAACAAGATGGCCAAGAGTGTCGCCTCCAGATACGAAGTCATCGGGGCTTCGGAATACTGCAAACACGTCACCTTCACCAATTCCCTGGATTTGGCCCGCAGATATTGTGTACAGGTCACGCTGTGGCTGGTCCGAACAGATCTTGATCTCGTAGCAGTGACGATTACGTTGCTTGAGACCCGCGTCGAACAGTATCCGCGTCTCCTTGTCGCGGCCCTCACATCGTGGCGTTTGACTGGATGCAATTCAGTTTACGTGCAGCGTGCAAAACAACGATATGGCGTACGACGGCAAGTAGCTGAGACGATTGATCACATCGGCATACGTCAACGTATCCGTACCCGCGTTCGCGAGAACGCTCAGAAAGGCCGTAGTGAACCTCCCTTCCTTGCGAATGCTATCCTCATAGGCACTCTCGTGAGGCCCACAAGCAGCCAGAACGACGTGAGACGTCAAGCTTGAGTTCAAGAATTCTGGCAGATAATCAACCGTCCCGCGTCGAAAGCCCGTCAAGAAGTTCGGGTGGTCTGACGCGTTGACGGTGAGTTCTGTACCATTTGAACTCTTGAATTCGATGCAGCGCGGAACAGCCCTGTCTCGGGTACCTGAGCCAGAATGGCAGCAGTCAAGCATGACGGTCTGCATTGAATGTCAGGACAGGTCATTGTCGAGAAACGTGTCCGCTCACGATGTTCTTCCCCTTAGCCTCAGCAAGACGTACAAGGAGCACGCCGAACGTTCGATCCGGGATGACGTTGATGACCGACTCATCGTCACCTATACAAGCATCATGCGGGGATAAGCACTGGATGCGCGACTGTGCGCTCGGCCAGCCACGTGGTCTGGGAAGTGTACTGCCATGTCCCGCATAGTATATGAAGATTGGATCTCCATGCCTTGGCACGTCCTTGCCGTGGATCTCGGGTTGGAGCTCCTCCATTGTAGATAGATCGACAGTGTGCACACACAGATATTCGATAAACTTGACGATCCTCCTCGCAGTAGCTCCACTGTCCTCGACGAAGATGATGCGTTTATCGCTTACTGGCGGTTGCTGGCTGCTCAAGAGCGATCTGATCCTTAGCGCATCCATGACGGCGCCTGAGAGGTTGTGTGCAGGGTCGAGATACTCATTGACGCCTATGATGAGAGCAAACAGTCTGCAGTCTTTGTCAGACCCTCGAATGTCATGAAACGTCTGGCTCTGACCGGTTTTGGGTAGGAGCAATGTCCTGAGCAGTGCAACTTGAATAAGATCAGCATCATCTCGCCTTCGCGAGTCGCAAGCACTCACCTTCCCTCAATGCCCGGGCTCACCCCTGCCATCGATCGGAAATGACGACGAAGCGGCAAATGCTGAGCGCTGAAGGCGCTCTTTTGAGCAGTTGTGTAGGTTGTGAGAAGGTTCCCTTACCTGTGAAAGGACACATTGTGATTCATGCGGTACAACTTGAACCGGTCCCCTGAAACGGAAAAAGTAGCTTTAAGTGATGCGATCAAGTCGGAGCGACCGATGGGCTTTATGCAGGCTCAACCGGATCGCTTGAAATGTTATACAGTAGGCTCGAGAGTCGGCGGAGATAGAGCCCGCAGGTAACACGTCACCCAGATATGTTGGACAGAAGCGTCAACCGCCCACATGCGGTTTGATGATAGTTCGGAAGCCCTACACCTCCAGTTGTATGAGCGCCTTTACGTCCGATCCCCATGTATAGAGAAGACTCACCTCCCAGTGGCGTATCTATGTGGAACAGGCAGTCCCGTCTGTGACAATACCCCGAACGCGCGCGGCTGTTTGTACCTTGACCATGGCCGGGATTACGTCGCGGGAGTCCGTGCTTCTCAGCATATCACTGAGGATTTGCGCCGCACTCGAATTGCAACGATGATTGAACGCAATGCATAGGGAATGCCGATCAAGGATATCCAGGAAGCTGTTGCGCGAACATGCGCGCCTACCCAGCCGCAGTGTGGTTGACCGCAAACAGGGATGACCCCCAGCCACATGATCACTAACGGCCGGCCATAATCGTTATGGGGCCAGCCGTGCAGGAAGCGACGGGGCGGCGTTGAGCGCAAGGCCTTGGTCGACGGCGTATGCGCAAGGGGACGAATGACTGAGTGCGCATGCAATATAATGCGCGACGAAAAGCACGTCCCGGTTCGATACCACATCCGAACGGTGTATTGTGATGTCCATGGGACGGGCAATGATTTGTTGACCGATGGTGGCGGTCAAGATCAACCTGTCGAAGAACCCGTCGGTCGTCGGCAGGCCAGCAGTCACCTTGCCTTCAACGCTCATCATCTCGGCCCTGCCTGTTCAAGTCTTGCGTCGCCTTGCCCGTCCTTCATACGTGTACCGCGCTTTTCGTTACACTCTTGTATATCATGAGTACCGCGCCATCCAGTACTGCGGTCGGGCGTGCTCGGCTATCGAGGTGCGTCCATCTTTGTATCGCCCTCTTATCCGCGCTGACCGCCGCCTCGCTATAGGCGAATTTAGTCAATAACGTACATCATATAAAGCCCTATCGAGCCTTAGAGTGCGACTCGAGCTCCAATAGCCTTAGTCCCGGGGTTGTATCTGGTGCGTGTCTCCGGCTGTCATTCCTCGGGATTGTTACCTATACATCAACAGCGCGTGGATACTCTACCGAAAACTACGACTGGCCTTCCTCGCAGACGATGTCATGAACCCTAGCATTGCGATGCAGTCTGTGCACAACCCGATGAGAGTGTAGCCTGTGCTCAGCTCACAGCCACGCGAGAAGCGGTAGGATACTAGGAGAAACGGCCGAGATTCACGACAATGTACTTCGCCCAAGCTAGGCCATACTACGATCTCGGTTGCCCGAACTCTTCATGTATTCAATCTTGACATGTCTAATGCATCATGTTTAACTCGCGCTGCAGCATCATGCAGTGGGCACTCGTTAGCACGAACTCTCAAGATTTCATTACGCATGTCGCATTGCACAGGACTGGTCAGATCACTCAATGATCCGGACACCGCATCACTAATAGGCGTATCTGCGTTTCAAGAGCACTAAAAATGCTCATACGGCCATTTAAAGGACAGGCGGGACCTCTCGTCGTTGACGTTCTATCGTCTTCCTGATCAAGCCGACAGCCCCCGATAGTCAAAACATTCTGTCCCGAAGGTGAGTAGGTGCCTCAAGATGCATCTCCAATTGTGAATAACGGCCTGTACTGTGCAGGAACAACTGCTGCTAGAGAACTCCCACATCTTGCAAGCGCAGGTGATCTATGGGCTCCCCCGACACCGTCGCCGTCGAGGCCCGTCCGCGTTGTCCAGTAGAAGAACAAATCCCTCTTACCACCATCACCAGCATCGATCAAAAGGACGACGGCATCTCTGCGCTATGCCGCTTGCTTCATTCGGTATCCGAGAATCTCCGTTATAAGTCTCATCGGTCCGATCAGCTGGATGACCTCTTACTTGTCCGCCCCGGGGACTGGAGTCCTCAGTACATGGACCTCAGCGAGGCCGTTTTGGCCGCGCGTCTCGCTCTCGACGTCAGCTTGGACGATCAGGCCACCATGTACGAGGTTCTTGACCACATTGGCAGTTCCCTGCGAGCGCGCTTCGATCTTCGGCGTGACCAGCACGACCTGAAGAATGCGCTATTGATACGCCGTTTCCTGATTCCACTCATTCCTTACGAGCATTCCTATAAATGCACGCAACTTATTGCGTTTGCTGATGAATTGCTCGCTCAGTTTGAGTGTCTCGGAAATAAGGATGTCGATATTCTGAATAGAGTCATATCCACTCGCAATCTCGTTATGAAGCTTACTGGGGATAGTGATGAGGATAAGCACAGGCGGCTCGTGGACCTTGGAACTGCATTCCGGACTCGTTATAAACAATCCGGCGAGCCGGGCGATCTCACGGCCGCATTGAAATATTTCGATCTTGCTCTTGAAGCTCTCCCAAGCGACTGCCCATATGAATCTTCTTATCTCAACTCCCTGGGCAATGCTCTCTATGATCGCTTCATACGATTGGGGGAGATTGATGACCTTGCCCGTGCGAAAGCGTGCTTGCGGCGAGCCGTCGCCCTGACTGACGAAGGTCACACAGAAGCGCATACATGGATGAACAACCTTGGAAACGTGTTACATGCATCCTTCAAGCGCTTGGGAGAGCGTGCCGATCTGGATGAAGCATTGCAGCTTCACCGGCAAGTTTCGCGGGACACCCCGGATGGTCATCCCGAACTTCCCGCCAGAATGAGCGACTTGGGCCGGGTGTTGCAAGCAGGATTCGAACACTACAACGATACGCAATACCTGGACGAGGCTATAGCTGCTCATGAGCGTGCCGTAGCGCTGACCTCTGACGAGCATCCTGACCGGGCTGCGTGGCTCAACGGTCTCGGAAGTGTCTTGTATTCTCGCTTCATGCTCACTAGGAAGATTGAGGACCTTAAGTCTTCTATCCAACATCGCAGCCACGCTATTGAGCTCACTCCGAATGCTGACTTGGAGAAAGCAACCAGGCTATGCGATCTGGGCAGCGCATTCCGAGCTCTATTCACAGCTGAGCGTCAACCCTCCGACCTCAAACGCGCGATCGAGAATCAACAGCGCGCAGTCGATACAACTCCCGACGGTCTTCCCGATAAACCCACGTTTCTGTACAACCTAGGCATCACGTTCAGGACGTGTTACGGGCATGACCAATCAAGGGAGCACTTCGAAGCAGCCATCACATACCTGCGGGAAGCGGCGCTACAGTCGTCGCGGAGTGACGCATCGATCCGATTGCAGTCAGCAGTCAGCTGCGTGGAATTACTTGCAGAAAATACTCAGCATCCCGTCTCGGTGGAGTCTATGTTAGAAGCTCACGGGCGTGTCATTCGTATGCTTCCCGAGGTTGCGTGGTTTGGTTATGACATCGATCGCAGATATCAAGAGTCTGCCCGTCTAGGCTCACTGATCAGTGACTCTGTTGCCGCCGCCATTCGTCATGAGCGGCTTGATCTGGCGGTCCAATGGCTAGAAGAGGGCAGATCTATCATCTGGACCCAGATTATATCTCTGCGTGCTCCACTCGATGACTTGAATGTACAGCATCCTCACCTAGCTCACGAGTTTTGGGACATCTCGCGCAAGCTTCAAGCCGCCGTATCTAGTCGGATTGATGTGAAGGTGGATGAATCCCTTCCCATGCAGGAGGCGGATCTACATCGACAATTGGTCGTACAGTACGATCACATAGTGACCGAAGTGCGTCGTTGTCCAGGTTTCACAGACTTTACGCGCCCGCTCAGGCCTGAGAGTATCTCTTTGGCACTTGGACATGCAGATGGACCTATGATATATGTCACACCAGCCAATGGTGCTCTCGCCCTTTTTCCCAATTCCCGAGACATATCGCACATAGAACTACCTGCTCTCACAACAGAAAGGGTCGCTGAACTGAGTCAAGTATGGCGTAGGCACGTTGGGCTCACCACTCGGCAGCCGTCAGTTGCACGAAGCACTGTTTACATAGACGAGGACGACGCTATTGGTTTACTATTGGCAAACCTGTGGCACTGGGTCGTGAACCCTATCCTGACGACGTTAGATATCGTACGTGAAATCTTCTTGAACCCTCCTAGTCATACTGACCTTGGCTCTTCCAGACGAGGCTCAGTGGAACATTCTTGAGCGGAAGCTCGTTGCGTCCTCACATTACCTGGTGTCCTACCGGGTTGCTATCTCAGCTACCTCTTCATGCTGCGGGGGTCTACGCAGAGTCATCCGATCCGCGAGCGTATGATGTCATCGTCTCATCTTACGCACCCACGTTGGGCTTTCTATCTCGCTGTTACCAAGAAATCCAGCCACGATCTCCTCAGGTCAACTTAAAAGTCCTCGCGATCGGTCAACCAAATACACCCGGGCATAGCCCTCTTCCAGGAACTGTAAGAGAGTGCATGCAATTGCAAGGGATCATACCTGGTACCAAGCTTCTGACGGGTAAGGATGCTACGGTGGAGCGGGTGCTAAGGGAAGTACAAGACTTTTCATGGGTCCATTTCGCATGCCACGCTTCTCAGAATCAGAGAGACCCCACAAAGAGCTCTTTCGCATTGCATGATGGACCGATGACGTTGTCCGATTTGATGGGAATTGTCATTCCTAGCGCAGAACTTGCCTTTCTCTCGGCGTGCCAAACTGCCACTGGCGACCAAAAGGCCCCCGAGGAGTCTGTCCATCTTGCTGCAGGGATGCTCGCTGTGGGATTCAAAGGTGTCATCGCAACAATGTGGTCCATCCAAGATCAAGACGCACCGACTGTGGCGGAGGCTTTTTACCGAAGAATGATGGAACTTCGAGCCAATCCGGATGCTTCATCCACACAGACTAGAGCGGCCTATGCTCTCCATGACGCGGTGAGAGTCTTGAGAGAGCGTGTTGGCGAATCGTTATTCAGCCGATGGGCGCCTTTTGTACATTTCGGCATATAGAGTGAATGAACTTCGGTTTGCAGATCCCATGTTTGCACAGGGCGTTGGTGGGAGCGGCATAACATCTAGGTTGACTGTACCAGTGTGCGAGCCCGCCCCAGGCGAGATGCGGCAAGATCGGTGGATCTCGATCACTGAGGGGCGCGGACGACACCCGTTCGTTGGAGAAGTACGCGTAAGTAGCATTCCACACGCACATCGCATCCCTATATACCTGGTGCTCATGCGATGCTGAAGCGGGTACAGGCGGGTACTTGTACAAGCTCCCCTTTGGGGCGTCATCACCGGGTTTATGATCGGTCTTTGGCGAGCGCGCGGATTGAGGCGCTCGTTCACAGAGCGCTATATGTTTTGCCTCGCATGGCCATGCATTACGGAGATTGCGTAGGCACTCGAAGGGAAAAGCGGGTATATAGCGAGGATGACAAGGGAGAACACGGCGGCGGGAAGGAAAGACGGCCGTCGGGCCTCGGCGACTGAAGAATCAATGAATCGGGCAGCCAATCGGCTGTTTCCACGCGACTTTTCTGATTCAGCCTTACCATTTGCCCTCACCCATCGTCAACGATGACGCTGGTTGTACCGAACATCGTCTATCTCGATATTGCCACGCATTCATTCCGCATCTTGGGACTCCATAATTCGGTCTTTCCCAATACTTATCTGTGCTACCTGTGCCGCCGCACGGACCTCTGGCATCTCGCAGGCCGAACTTGACTCCACGTACGTTACACTCGTTCCTGTCGCTTGGTATATGCGCTAATTCCTCATGTAGTGTCCCAACTCTTCCAGCTTACATGTCTTTTGAACACTAACACCTGTCCCCCTCTATTCCCATGCTTCACTTAGCCCCGTGCTCCCCACCTACGTATTACGCTCTTCGTTCACGCATGAACATGAAGACGCAGTGCACTTGCATGTCGCGCATTACCGCCGCCAGTCCTGGTGTACCCCTTATGTTATATGAACCGTTGAATAAACCATGTTTGCGAAGCTTTGACCGAGTATCCGCGCACGCGCGCCGCGAAGTTGGTGCGTAAATCTGACTTCAAGTTCGTTGTTTTCGCTTCCATATGGGCATGAGGACTTGGGAAGCGGACGTACCTATATCCCGAAATGTACGAATGGGGCCCATCTCATGAAGTTGCGTTCCTTGACGTCAGTCCGCAAAACCTTCAGTGCTTCATGTAGCGCGTATGCTGCTTCCGTACGCCCAGTCGTATCTCCTCGTACAGACCTGTGCTTGAGGAGTTCTAGGTAGTATGCCTCAACAATCGTTGGTGCGTCTGCGTCTTGTATTGACCACATCGTGGCCACAACACCCTTGAAGCCCACGGCAAGCATCCCTGCTGCGAGATGTACCGACTCCTCTGGAACCCTCGCATCCCCGACAGCCGTCTGACACGCCGAAAGAAACGCCAGTTCAGCGTTGCTCGTAGTGGTTCCCATCAAAGCAGATAATGATAATGGCCCGTTGTACAGAGCAAAGTGGCTGTTTGTTGGGTCTTTCGCCGACTGTGCTCCGTGGCAGGCAAAGTGTACCCAAGGGTATTCGCGTATACTGGATAATACTCGATCGACAGTCGCCTCCTTGTCATTCAGGATTGTGGGCGGTGACCGGAGAAAGACGTTCTTAAGTCGCTCGAGTTCGTCTACAGTGCCGGGAAGTGAAGCGTGATTGGGGGTGTCGGGTTGCGCGACTACCAACATCCTTGGCTCCATGTTCCTGCTATCTGATCCTCTATAGCAACGCAACAAGGCGGACAGAGATGGAGTGTATGAGGAGACCACATAATCGAATACACGCGGCCTAACATCTTGTGAGAAGTCATAGACTCCTGCGGCGTGAAGAGGGAGTCGAGTGAGGATTCCGGTAGGACACCAAGTTATGTGAAGCATCTTCTTCAATGGTATCTGGGATTGAAAAGTGGCATCTGAAGGGTGTACTGGGAGAGCCAGCGCGTATAGGATGGGATGCATGATCCATTCCCACAACTGCCCTAGGACGAGTCCGATCAAAGTCGTCCCTCCCATGACTTTGAGTCTGTCCAGTAGAAGTGCTCCGCGCACTGTTCTTCTGGAACTAGATGACTGAAGTGATCGTGACCATGTTGAGCTCAGATTGAGAGCGCGAGTCTCTGTCAGTTCCGGAAGAGGGATATGTATGACCTCCCTATCGTCAGGGAAAATGGCAAGCGCACCACTCATTGGGGTGACGAAGATGATGGGCCCATCTGCACGAGTGGCGCGGAAGGACGTCCTGATGCCCTCTAGTGTCAACGGGCGCAGAAATGTCTCGAATCCGGAGCGTGATCTGATCTCAGTTAATGTCTTATCATATTGCGTAACAAGACGACGATGGCGATCGGCAGCTCTGTTCCGAACTGCAGTGGAAGTATGATCCTCATCAAGTCCGTCATCTTGCGGCGCCGTGAAGTCTGTCCTATGTCCAGAGTCTCGGAGTTCAGAAGAGGAACTCCAAAGGTCATACGCTAAATCCGGCCATTGCACCTCCAGATCGCGAAAGGGTTCGCGAAGGGACAGTATTTGCGTCCACACAATGGATCTTCCTGCCTCAAGCCATTGAACGGCGTAGTGCACTTCGCCATTCTGCACAGCGGTCACGACTGCGTCATTCACAAAAGCACCAAGACGAGCTGTTTCCTCGTATCTCCGAGTGACTCCGTGGCCAAGCCAAGCCAACTCGGGAAGAAGCTCGATGATATATGAATGTGCGAGAAGCAGAACGTTCACAGAGCCGAACTCATCGCGATGTGAAGATAGCATCTCAACACAGCTTGCCGCAGACTCTAGTCGCTTTTCTGGATCCCCGAACGCCTGGGCCATGACCGCTAAGTAGCGCTCGATGGTGGCATCGAAATCACGCTTGGATTGGCTAAACTGGAATCGCTCTTGCAACGCAGAACCAAGGTCGTTGAGAAACGCAACCTTCCTGGGATGGTCCTTTGGAATCAACTCGGTCGCGTGAAAGTGAGCGGTAATGGCCCAATCGAGATCAATGATTTCATGCGAGTGCTCGAACGAAGCACGCAATGCGTGGCCAAGCATACTGAAACGGGTAGACCGTTCGGGGTGATCGTTCGGGGTGAATTGGACACCTCGGCGCAGATATGAAATGGAATTAGCAAGATCCTCGACGATGTGCTCCGGTCGAGTTTGAGACTGAGTCTGCAAGCTACGTCCAATGTGACTGAGTATATATGGCATGTATGGATGGCCTTTGGGTGTGAGCTCGAAAGCGCGCCGTTGATTCAATATGGCATTATCGAGATCCTCGTTAGCCTGCTGACGACGGAAGCGAGTATGAAGAGCAACTCCAAGACCGTCGAGAAGTATGTGCTTGTCGCAATGGGTATCAGGTACTAGATCACAGGCAATAGTATGCACAGTCAAGGCAATCTCGCAGTCATTTGGTTCACCCAACCGCTCAAATCGCGCTTGGAAGGCGTGTCCCAGGCTGCAGGCTAGGCGAAAGGGATCCAAATGACCATCCACAGGCTGTTCGATGGTGGAATTCAGAAAGGTCTTCAACTCCTCGTAGTCGCTGGAAGTAGTACGCAGAGAGTTGTGAGCGACGTGGCCCCCGGACTCCTCAGCCATGTTCGTCGTCATAGCTTCCCTGGTAACCTCTCTAGTAGGTTTAAGTTCCTCTTTCGTCGATCCACCTTCGGCGCGCTGATCTTCGGCGGCTAATCGCAGTGCGTGGCACAGCTCCGTTATAGCGCCTACGAGGTCGTCCAAGTTTCCGTATCTCTCATACCGAGCGAATAACGCAACACCAAGATGGCCCCGATAGATTGAGATCGGTGGGAAGATGTGCTTGGCGACAGTTGTCGTCTTTGAAGCCATGGCAGAGCGCACAGTCGAAATAGACTCCTCAAGATCGTTGGTTTTGCCGAAGCGCTTGAAACGGGACAACAGCGCTATGCCGAGGTCATTCATCCTGTCGCCTTGTGTGCGCTCGTCTGACAGCTTCACTGCGAGACGCAGGGCGGACACGGCAGTTTCAAGGTCGCTTGCCTCCCCTTGACGTTCGAACCTGGCTAGCATGGCGCAACCATATTCACGCATTCGCATAGGTTTTTCGTAATCGTGGTATGAGGTCGACCTGATGGCAAGAAGATGGAAGGACACTGACTTCTCCAGATCGCTGACATCATCTTGATCGTCTGGCTCACGCGAGCGCTCGAAGCGGGCCAGTAGTTCCCTGGCGAGACTACTAAGTATGGATGGCCTCGCGGGGTACGACTGGCCACATATTTCAGAGGCGAGTATGTGCGCGGATATGGCGCCCTCAAGGTCGACAACGCGGCCAAGACGGCGGTAACGCGCCCACAATGCACTCCCAAGAGCATCGAGATGCAGAGGCTGGTCGGAATTGTCCATGGAGGACAAGTGTACGGCGCGCCCTAGTAACTCTACAGGAGGATCGATGTCGCCGGTGTCGCCGAAGCGAGTGAAACGGGCTAACTGTGCCCTCCCGAGGAGGTGATAGCATGAAGGTCTTTCCTGAGACCGTTTTCGAAGAAGATCAATAGCACTTTGGTGGCATTGGATGGCAGATTCGATGTTATCAAGCTGATCAAGACGCTTAAAGCTCACTTGCAAGGCATGCCCAAAGTCGTTCAGGCCTTTCACTTTGTAAAAGTGGTAGTCTGGCATAATCTCGACGGCTCTACGATGAACAGATTCGGCGTCGGCTGAGAACTGGCGGTCGTTGAAGTGTTCGAACGCCACCCGTAATGCACAACCAAGGCGACTGAGGCGGACCGGCTTCAAGGCATGGTCATCCGGGGTCACTGCCGTGTCGGCGGAGCGCTCGAGAACCTTGATGGCTTCCTTAATATCGTTGTCTCTGCGCCTGCGGTCGAAGAGTATGTTATAGAAATGAGCCAACCGGTCGAGAAGCACGGCCTTCACTGGCGAGTCTTGTTGCACCAGAGCAACCACGCGATTCAATAGATCGATGGCCTCATCGGGGCTCGCAAAGTCACCCAGTCGCCGAAGAAGAGTAAGTATACTGTCACAGAGCGCCTCAAGAGACGTTATCACAGAGGGTGTCATTATCAGGAAGGACGCCCGTGAGCGTGTGAAGGCGCTCAGGGCAGAGTCGAAGTCTGCTAGGTCATACAGATCATCGTACGGGTTGCCCATACGGCGGAGCATCTCGGCCGCCTGATCGTAGTCCATGCTGCAGTTGGACTAGTCAGCGTGCATTTGAACACCGTAACATGAAAGGGACGTACATCAAAGTAGCATCCTCCATTGATCCTTCCAAACGGGATACTCGAGGTCGGGCAGATGGTTGAGATGCTGCTGAGCACGCAGTATATGTTCACAAGTTTGATAGTTCTGAACTCAGAGGGCAGCTGTTTGCTTATATGGGACGCGATGGTGGTTGCGGAGGAAGCACGTTCACGGCGCGGCCGAATGCTCGCTCTCACTCCGCGGGATCGTACGACCTTCCTCGGCAAAACACGCCGCTATCCTTCGTAGAGCAAGAAAATATATGTGCCATCCACGCCGCGTACACGACGCCAGGTCCCAGCAAGGTCATCGCGAAGATGTTCGCAAGAGCCAAGCGCGAGAAAACACATGTCGGCGCGTCGGCGCGTCTCCCCGCGCCGGTTCGCGTCGAACGGGCTCAGGCGGAAACTGGCACAGTACTCTTTCTTAAGCTTGACTTCCATCCATCACCACCACCACCACCACCCGCCCATCAGCTGGCAGCATGCGTCCCACTCCTTCGCGCCTACTGAACATTCTCGTTCCTGTCAAGCGGTGTGTATCTTAGGTATATATGCTTCAGCGGGACTGACATGTGAACTACGGGTAGGTGCGTTGACTATGCAGTCAAGATCCGCGTGAATCCGCAACAGACGGGCGTGGACTTGAATGTCAAGCATTCGATGGTTCGTACATGCTCGCTGTACACTTATCTCTCTAACTGAACTCTTCATAGAATCCGTTTGATGAGATTGGTACGCATTGCTGCCATAGAGGAAGTCTGCACCTCTAACAGTTACCTGTAGCCGTCGAGGAAGCCGTCCGCCTACGCGACCGTTTAAAGGACGAAGTCAAGTCTATCAAAGTCGTCACAATCGGCCCAGCGAAAGCCACAGAGACGCTCCGCACAGCGCTGGCTATGGGCGCCGACTCGGGCATCCACGTCGAGATTCCCGATGGCCCCGGGCCGGAACCCTTGGGCGTCGCGAAGACGCTGAAGGCCATCATCGAACGCGAGAAGGAGAAGGCGCCGGTGGACATGGTCATTATGGGCAAGCAGGCAATTGACGACGACATGTGCGCTACGGGGCAGATGCTTGCGGGTCTGTTGGGGACGGCACAGGCTACTTTCTTGAATAAGCTCGAGGTGGACCCGAAGGCGGGGGTGGCTAAGGTTACGACGGAGATCGATGGCGGTGTTGAGGAGCTGGAGTGTAAGCTGCCGGCTGTATTCACGACAGACTTGCGGTACGTTTCGCTCTCCGTCGTCTTGTATCTACTTGTACTGAACCTGTTCGCAGATTGAACGGTATGACCGACTTCTGCTTGTATCAGGGTCTTTGCTGATAAGTTCTCAGAACCTCGCTACGCTACATTGCCCCACATCATGAAGGCGAAGAAGAAGCCGATTGAGAAGCTCTCTCCGTCTGACCTTGGTGTTGACCTCACACCCATTCTCGAGACGCTGAAAGTCACGGAGCCGCCAAAACGCACTGGTGGTGTCAAGGTACGCGCTCCTTGTCCCTCCACACAGGGTAGCTTCTGACCCTCTTCCAGGTCGAGAGTGTGGATGAGCTTGTCTCGAAGCTGAAAGACGCTGGATTCACGGCTGTCGCATAGCAATGCTCTGCATATCTCCATGAAGGACCTATGCTACGCTACACGCACATTCCTGTACACTACTACCCACAACCAAGCACTTCTGCAACCAACATCCCCGGTTGATGTTCACGCGCGTTCACGAGCGTATGGCACTGGTAGAGGCCATGCATGTGACGGCAATCGGATGGGCGCGTATGCGCCTAAACACTCGAGGGTCCCTCGTAAGCTCATCATACTGAAATCAACTATGACACCTCTATGGCAAGAGTCCATAGCTGAGTAGGCACTGGCCTTATGACCTACGTGAGCTCTGAGCGGTTCATAGACTTCGCCGACCAAAGCTCGCATATCGCTGTGCCTGTGCCTCTAATAGAACTTCAAGCATTCGTTCACGGCCTCCGGTCTCTCGATATTGCTATTGATAGACTGGCCTTCGCTCGCTGCAAAGGTCTGCTCTTTGAGGCGGGTGCGAGTCGCGACGTGTTTGAAACGGGTCGGCGGCTGCGAGTGCCATGACGCGAGCGTTGGATGACCGCGAGGACCAGCGGATGGGCGCCCGTTGACCCCTGAGTACTGAGTAGTCTCAGTAGCATCGGATCAGCCGGACCGACCGCTGGGCCAAGCGCTCAAGCTCACGCTAGCCGCGAGTTCTTCGTCGACTTTGGTGTAGTGGGGACTAGCAAGCTGGATGGGAGCTGCGGATCCCATATATTCTCAGCGCGGGAGCCGCTATGTAGAGCCCGAGAGAGGATGTGCGGAGCATCCGGCGTCGAACACCTGGGTTCTGCAGTGCAATCCCCTCGCGTTCGCCAGCGCATCGTATCTCGTACTTCACTGAGTCAACACGTACTTTGCGTCGATCTACCGTGTGGTGCAGTTTCCGCGAAAGCAGCGTATTCATGATTCGCTGGTGGACTTATATGTACATGACATTTGGCGCTCCCTGAGTCATGGTACTCCGCGAGCACGAGTGTCTGGACGGGGCACATCAAGAATGGACTTATGCAAGTGAATGCGCCATCGAGAGGCCCGGGACTCCGACTCAACATCGCGAACGCCAGAAGACCATGCGGTGGAGGTAACTACAAGAAGCCGGTACGGCCATGTATCAAGCGAACTCCCTAAATTCTGAACCTACACGCGATTCACGAGTGTCCGGACGGGGCGCGTCAGGAATGGACTTATGCAAGTTAATGTGCCATCGGGAGGCCCGGGACCCAGACTCAACAGCGTGAACGCGAGAGGTCAGGCGGTGGAGCGGATGTAAGGTATGAGGCCGTCAAGAAGAGTAACGCGAAACGTATCTGGCTTCATTGGCCGACTACTGCTTCACCTAGAGTGGATGGATTCTCGACGTCGTACCAGAGGAACCGTACCTGAACCGAATCTAAGGAGTGTCTCTGAGTACAGTTCCTTTTGAGGAAAGCCAAGGGATGCGGGAAGCCATGTTGGAAGAATAGAGTGAGAGGAGACTGGGGAGGGTTAGCCGATGGACAAGTTAAAGGTAAGCGTTCTCTATATAGCCCGTAGCGTCTCAGACGGCCAAGACAGCTATAGCAGATAAGCGAGTTCAGTTCTGTTTCGGAATGGTGACCCTGACGAGGAGCGGGAGGATAGGGGCAAGGAGGGTACCTCGAGGTCAGCTATCGCTCAGTGCAACAAACAGGCTACAGAACAAGACTCGTGATTGCAGTATCATTATCTCGTTGCAATACAACATAGCCATACGTGTACGTCCCTCACCCAAGGAGTGTCGCAGGATTTGGCGCCGACGGGATTTGGACAGGGGACTAGGAAAGGAGCTTCCCGTTGGCGGGACAGTCATAGGGTCAGGAGTCAATAAACCTGAGCGCCCCCGTCAGGCATTAAACTTCATGTATCACCTGTAGCTCGACCAGCGGCCCGACTATGATGGATGAATCTGTGCCGGAAGATCAAGAACCACAGTCACTTCGGGGAGAACATGGGCAGCAGTGCCTCGTAATCTGAGGGTTGAAAACTCTGAGGATCGTCCGTGAGACTGCGATCAACCGAACCCACCGTGCTGTCGAGCACCCGGGGCATGGTGGTGGTCAACGCCAAAGGTGCTCGCGGCGCTACGACGCTCCATCGACGCGCATGGGAACGTTCGGCCTTCGGGCCGCTTCGGGCCGCTCATCTATCTACTTAGTGGCTATCAAGTGCGCTCTAAGCTTGTTGCAGACTGGCACTGAATAAGTACGGAGCGAATTACAAAGTCCTCAGATGAAACCATACAGTAAGAGGAGCGTGACTATCGGGGAGAAAGGGTATCATGGACAAACATGCGATACGTGAATCAGGCCAGGGTCTTCCTGAACCAATCCACCGTCTGCTCGATGGCGCCCTCATACCCGGCCTTGACCTCCGGAATAGACTGATTAGGGCGCACAGCGAACCCATGCGCGCATCCTGAGCACACCAATCAGCTCATGCAACTCAGAAGCTAGCCAGCAAAAGCAATCGCTCACCCTTCCAATCCCTGAACTCATACGGCACAGAGCCCTCCCTGCCCTCGCGCGCCTTGAGCACCGCCTCGGCCTCGGCCCGCGCCGAAGCGCTGAACGCCAGGTCTTCCTCGGCGCACACCCAGCTCGAGGGTACCTTGATACCCTTGACCGCCTCCGCCGTAACGCCACTCGGGTGCGCTAGGACGATAGAGTCTACGACCTCGGGAGAGCTGCCAATCAGGGCGCCTACGCCCCCGCCGTAGCAGTAGCCCACGGCGCCGATCTTGTCGTAGCCTCTTTCTTGGCGCAGCTTCGCGATGAACTAGACAGGATTCAGCATGGGTCAGTAAGCGCCGTGAAAGGGTGAAAGGGAGGAGGCGCGCGTACCTCGCGCGCGCGCTGCTCGCCGACGGTCGCTCGCGCCTTGTACATGGCCCAGGCGTGGGGGAGTAGGACCATGAAAACGACGCGAAGAGTATTCAAGAACCCTATGCTCTGCCCCGCGCGTTCAGGCAAAAGCGGTTCCAGCTCTTCCGCCTTCAGCGGCGGCTTGCCTGTACAACGATATCGCGTCAGACCTCAGGGTCCCTCCCATCTACGATAGACTGCGGAGGAGGTCGACATACCATCAAACAAGTCGGGCACCCACACGTCCATGTCGAGTCTTGCGGACAGCGTGTCCGCCTGGATCTTGCTGTTCACGAGCGTGTGGCCGAAGATGTCGCTGAGGAGGACGATCGCGCGTTTGGGGCCTTCGGAAGTCGGGGAGGACGCAGGATGGAAGTATGCGCCGTCGATCATCGATCCGGAGGGCTCGCCGGGGAGCACGAAGCCTTTGAAGCAGTTCTCGCAGGTCATCGTCGTTAGTTAGTCGAGCTCGAGGGGCTGTCGTATTGTAGAGGGTGTAGAGGAGCTGGTAGATGCGGCCTGCAGTCGTCCCGCAGCGAGTTATATACCGCCTACCCGCCAGGCGCCGCGAAGCGTCGAACGTACAAGTGCGGCAACATGAACTCCGGGAGTGGCGTCGTGTCTCTGCGGCTGGCCGTTCACTGTAACCACGGCAGGCGCATGCCGCACCCGAAGCTACACGCGTTATAGCCGTGCATGGTACCCCTATTGCACCCGGAACCAATGCAGTACACGGCGTTGAGATGCGAGTCAGGTACTTAAAGCCGCTGCGCCGCGCGAGCGGCGTCGGCTTTAAGGGCAGCGGGGTGATTGTTTGTCCGGTCCGATGGTCCGAAAGCGGCCTTTAGAAGTAGAGAGCTTTTAGAAAATGACTGTGATGTGCGCCAGTACTGTACTCACTTCCTTTGCAACCACGGAGTTCGAGATAGAATGCTCGACTTCGTAAGACTGCTAGGCGAGGGTACTGGAGAGTGCAAGAAGTCAGAGGGCGCAAACAGGGCGCAGACGCCAGGGCTCGGAGTAGGCTTTTGCCGAGGCGGCCGTACCACAGAACTGTTTTGGAACTCACTGCGACGTCGCCCGTCTCAGCAAGTAGCGGGAGCGAGTGAGATTAGAGTCGACAAGGGATGCCACGACGCAGGATAGCAGACGGCATCCAGCATGAAGTACGCGCGTCCGTTCGGGCTACCCTCGGTGGTCTAGCCGAATTGGACACAGGATAAGGCAACGACACTCTATTGCGCTTCCTTGGGTGCTGCACCGTCCACGCTCGGACTAGCTTCGGTGAGGGCAGGAACTGTATTGCTTTTGGAGTAGAGTGGGAACGTATAATGAACAGAGAGAAATACGTATGAGGACGGCAGACGGCAGCGCCAACATACTGATGGTGTAGCGGCGCGACGGGTCCTCATCTCAGAACAGCGTCTTCTTGAACCACTCGATCGTCTGCACTGTTGCGCCTTCATAACCCGCCTTCACGTCCTCGTACGCTTGATTCGGGCGAATCGCGAATCCGTGAGCACATCCTAGGTATTCGGATTCAACACGACATCTAGAGTATAGCGATACAACCACGACGCACCTTTCCAGTCCTTGAATTCGTAGGGGATGAAGTCTTCCTTGCCCTCGCGAGCTTTGAAGACAGCTTCGGCCGTATTACGCTGTGCAGGCTTGAACCCCATGTCCTCTGTAATGTCTCGCCGTGAGCAGTGTCGTTCTGAATGCAATCGGGGGAGTACGTACCCTCAGCACAAGCCCAGCTCGCCGGGACTTTAATCGCCTTCACCACATCTTCCGTAACGCCGCCGGGGTGCGCAATGACGACTGAATCGATGAGCTCTGGCGATTTGGCAACGAAAGCCGCGACTGTGCCGCCGTAACAGTACCCGACCGCGCCTATCTTGGCGTACCCCTTCTCCTTGCGCAACTTCGTTAAGAACTGCCCAAAGCATGAGTAAGGTGAACAAGCATGTGACATGAAAGAAGAGGCGTACCGTTCGCGCGTGCTGTTCACCGACAGACGGTCTCGTCGTGTACATTGAGTAAGCGCGGGGAAGCATGAGCATGATCAAGCGAACGTAGGTCATGAACCCCATCTTGGCGCCTGCGCGGTCCGGCAGAAGAGGCTCGAGCTCGTGTTCCTTCACCGGGGGCTTACCTATGCCGACCTCAGCTCCTATGTCCTCAGAGCGAGGGAGCAGAAAACGCACCGGCAAAGAGGTCCGGTACCCACACGTCCACGCCAATCTCCTTCGCGAGCCTGTCCGCCTGGATCTTCGAGTTTTTGAGAGGGAGGCCAAAGATGTCGGTGAGTAGCACAACGGCGCGTTTTGTGCCGTCAGCAGCAGGTGTAGGCGACGCGGCGAGGTATGCGCCGTCGACGATGGAGCCGGAGGGCTCGCCGGGAAGCACGGAACCTTTAAAGCAGTTCTCGCAGCTCATCGTGGGGAACAGTAGGTCTTGGGATGCATGTAGGCCACGCCGGATGGGTCTTTATAGCTTCTAGAGTGGCAAAGCATTGTATGGAGCCAATTGAGAAGAAGGTTGGGATCGGCCAGCGGTGATGGGAGAGGCCGTCGGCGCGTATGCGCTGGTGGGAGGAAGCAAGCGGGATTTCCGCGCGCAATGCCCGCTGTGGCGCACGCTCGCACGTGTAATCCGTCGGAATATCTTGGATATCTCGGGAACGAGGACAGATTGACGAGTTCTGACCTTCACACCCGTATACTACACCAAAAAGAGTGTTACAGACACAAAGCCGTAACAGTTAGCGTGCGCGATCCCCGTCTGTCGAAGCGTTATTACATGGGCGTAGAGGCTTATGACAGAACCATTCTTCAGTTGACGGGCTGCCTGCTCTCAAATCCAGTACGCTGAAAGCGCACATTGCGCCACCGAGAAACACGGCTCCCCTTCCGGCAGGCCTACTGAGACTCAAACCCAGTAGCCTGCAGATTGAGCCCTGGAGGTTCATGAAGATCGAGATGGAGGTCACCATGTTGACAAGATGGGCTTCACTACCGAATCGGAGCTCATAACGCGCACGGAGCGGCGCATAAGTTACAGCCATCACCCACGATAGTAAGTGGCAGTCAGGAAGAAGTTGCGCCAAAGTTGCGCAGGGCACTCATTGCCTGCTTTGGGGCGGCGCTTACCCAGCCTCGGGCCGGACAAGCCGTCCGACGCCGCATTGATCTGCCAGACTTGTCTAAGTTGTCTTCGACGTTCACCACACTATTCACAACTACCGGCCATGGTCCTCTTCTTCACTTCCGCCGGTACAGCATATCTCGCCACCGAACTTTTCAGTCTCTGATTGAGGCCACAGTGCATACGCCACCTGTGACGATCTACATGGGAAAAGACAAGGTGGAAAGTGCGTGCGTACCATCACTGCTTTCCTCACTTACTACCGCGTCTCACCCTATGTAATACTAGATGAAGACCTGATCAAATATGCTTGGCCACAAGACGTCTGGTTCCATGTCGACAAGCTCTCTTCAGCCCACGTCTACCTGCGATTACCGGACAATATCCCGTCATGGGACGCGATTCCCGAGGTACTGTTGCAAGACTGCGCACAACTTGTTAAGGCGAACTCGATTGAGGGTGTGCATCTTGTTCTCGTGCAAGAACGACCAGAAATTGCGGCGCTGACTAGACTGACAGGAAACAAGAAGGATAACATTACGATCATCTACACGCCAGGCGACAACCTGAAGGTACGCCTGCCGAACTCTGCCTTGGGTTTTATATCTTACGGTTATCTCAGAAAACGGGCGATATGGCTACAGGCCAAGTCTCTTTCCACAATGACAAACGCGTGCGTGACCGTTACTTCCACCACAATCTACCTAACACGCGAACCAGGTCAAGCGCGGTACGGCCTACACATCTTCCCAACCTTTCGGCTTGGTCCTAACTCCTCCTTCCAGTATACGTCCCCAAACGCGAAAATCCGATCGTCAACAGGTTGAACAAGACGAAAGTCGTGCGCGACGTTGATCACGAAGCGGAGAGGCAGGACCGTATCAAGCGCGAGAACCAGGTCAAGCGGGCCGCTGCGGCGCAAAAAGTGAGTCTTCCTTCCGTCCCGATAGCACATCGCTCATCCAGCTTACATTTCCTGCAGAAGAAGGCCGACCTTGAACTGGCGAAGCAGAGGGAGGCGGAGAAAGCTGCACGGTCGTACGACTCGCTGTTCAGCGGGGAGTACGATGAGGACGACGATGAGGCAGAGAATAGGAAAGGGAAGACGGCGAGAGAATTGGAAGACGACTTCATGTGAAATGATGCGCGTGAATTTTGTATGTCTTTCGATCATGCGAGCAGTCGACATGCGAAACAGTCGTTGAGCCTCCTTCTATGACAGTCCTCTTTGCTGCCCGATACGCATGGACTCGCCAGACGTCAACATGGCATGATGTGTGACTCGTTACTGGGGACATGTTCGGCTATGAGAGTGCTTCCAGGATCTCACATCGCGTACATCAACAAAATGATAAATTGATTGCTCCCCGCCAAGCACATAGAATACGAGGTGCAAAAGAAGGTACACATCCGAAAGCCCAGAGAAATAGAACAGCGCCTCAAAAGGCCTGTACAGAGCAATCATCGAAACCCCCGTCTACCATCTACTCAATATACTTGGTTGCCTCCTAGCGAACCATATAACGCCACCGGTTTAGGCGGTGCTCAGAAGGCTGGTACAGTGCATCAGCATGGAAGAGTATGGAGAATATCTGTACTTGGACTTACACGCAGTTACCGAAGTTGGCAGTCGTAGCAAGCGCGACAAGGCAAGACGCGCCATCGCTACCGCCCGTGCACGTCGTGCCGGACGGAAGCTCGAGGACGATCGTGTCCGAGCCGACAGCAACAGGTGCCTATGCCATCGCATCCCACTCAGTATAGCTCTTGCGCACGGAGTTTCACAAGTACTACGTACGGGGTCGCCGTTCGTGAGAACGGTAGCAGTGATCGGGAACGAGGCGCCAGTGGCCGTGGGGTCGACCGTCGCGGACCCGACGGCGCGCGAGCCGTCAGCGCCGCCGTTGAAGTCGGTGACGGTGACGGTGAAGGTGCCGTCGGAGTTGAGCGTCACGGGCGTGCTGTCGGGGACGGCCGACGCGACGTCGACGTTGGGCCCGCAGGGCGCCGCCGCGGTGACGCGCTCGACGTCCGCGCGGACGGCGGTGCGGCCGACGATGCCGATCGCGGGCGTGAAGATGGCGTGTGCGCTCACGGAAGAGGCCGCGGCGAGGAGGACGAGGGAGGTGAGGGTCTTGGCGAACATTTCGGCGGTTGGGAGCTTGGAGTGGGCGATGAGGAACCGGTCCTTGGGTTTGGGTGAACAGACGATGCTGAGGAGGAGTGTGCGGGGGATGTACCAGTCTTTATACTCTGCGCACAAGCATACAAGAGTATACCGTGTCTTCAGCACTAGAGACGAGGCGACGGTAATCGGAGAGAGTGAGGCGGAGCCACGTCGGCTTCTAGGCTTGAAGCTCATGCCTTGCACGACTGGGATCGACGAACGAGGCAAATTTCCCTGCTGCGTTTGTCATGAATGAGAGAGTACTCTCATCCCGTCTTGTCGAGAAGTGACGGAGATGACCGTTCAAGTTTGCCGGCTGGTGTCTGCGCCAATACGGGCAGACACGGGGAGGTCACAAGTGGTTGCTGGCAGCATCGATGCCCATGGGTCAAGGTTCTCTCCCTAAGTCGGCTAGACGACTATAGGAGTGCAGCGAGAATAGCCATATGGTCCATGTATAGAGCATGTGATGCGTACACGACGCCGAACGCAGGGTTATGCTGCGGGGGTGGCGTGATCTGAGCTTTCAAAAATGCACACTATGGACCGGGTGAGAAGGGGAGACCACCAACACCCAAGAACAACTGGGTTATGCGACCAGATATCTGATACCATCATATCATTCGGGCCGTCCCAAAGCTAGGTGTCGTTTCAGTCCTTAAACTGCTGCGGTGATTCGTTGTGGTACGATCACACGGTATGTCGCCTTCGCCCATACCGGTCGAAGACCGCCTCCATCTTCTCCGAGGTGCCCGCCGCGAAGCTCGAGCGTGAGAGTGACGCTGTGACGCCCAGTAAGAATACGCAACGCGAGCCTGACCGAGCGAGTCGGAGAAATGGCTCGTTCATGCAGTCCTGGTGTCTACACAGGGTGCTGGGAGGACCCAGGTTTCGAGTGCGATCGGAAGCGACTGGGTGTGTAGAGGACAGTATAGTGCATCGGAGCAGGCCGGGTCTGTATTGC